CAAAACCCCAAAACCCCAAAACCCCATGAAGCTTTATTTTAAAATGTGAGGAGTAATCAAATATTTTGTATGATAGGATTAAGGATATATTTCAGCAAGTCTATTTATAACTTTAATTAATAATATAATTACAAATGGAAACAAGTAATCTAAAAATTATAGCTTTATAATATGCTCCAGTCTTGAAAAATGTCAAGGCCTCAATGGAAATAGTTAATAACCTCATTAACTAATATTCAGAAAAAGACCAAATTGATGTCCTATTACTTCCTGAATTGTCTTTTGTTGGAAGCTCTTTTTATGGCTATTATGATATTTTACCGTTTGCAGAACAATAAGGCAATGGAAAATCCTACCACTGGTGCGTAGAAGTCTCAAAGAAATTAAAATGTATCGTAATTATTGGATACCCAGAAATATGCGGAGATATTCTCTACAACTCAATGCTAGTGGTCTCTGAATCAGGGTAAATCCTAAAAAACTACAGAAAAAGACAGCTATTCTCATTAGAATGGGATTGGGCTCTACCTGGTAATGAATTTGCTTATTTAGATGCTAAAGTATGGAGAATACATAAAACTGTTAGATTTGGACTTGGTATCTGCAATGATATATGGTATAATACTCCTCAGTAACAATATCAAATGGACTGGGCTAGATTTTTGGATGAAAACGATTGTTAAGTAATCTTAATGCATAGTAATTGGCCTGACTATAAACTCTACGAGAATAATGACATTAAAACTCAGGTTATGATGATTTATTGGCTTAATCGCTTGGTTCCTGTGACTCAAAGCTCTAAAAAATCAAAGAATATCTATTTCATTAATGCTAACAGAATTGGAGAAGAACTAGGGACAGAATACATAGGCAGCTCCTGCTTTTTCACTCTGTAACCTTAGATAACAATAGAAAATAATCTTGAATGTAATAATTAAGGATCCCTCATTTGCAAGCTATAGATTTGAAAGTTCTCTCTAAAAATAACTTATAAGTATGTATGGTTTTATATTTAGTAAGGTGTATTAATTGATTTAAATTTGCCAATGTAATCTTATATTTATAATTCTGGGGTTTTGGGGTTTTGGGGTTTTGGGG